TTGGACCCCTTCTTTGGGGCTGGAGCAGATTTTGCCGGCTCAGGCATAATTGAGAAAACACACAAAACGTGTACCCAACGACACCACAAAGAATCTACAGACTACCACGTGCCCTATTTATATAGAGCTTCTTATGCAAATGAGATTAGTTAAAGTCCTGTGTCTGATAGGTAGCTGTTCAAGCAAAAACGTCATAGATTAGTTCTCACCAATCAGAGCGCAAGTATACCAAATTCGGGTTTTCATTGGTTAAAAGGAAGCCACATTCCTGACCAATGAGACATCTTTTTTTTCGCGCCCAATAAGGGTTATAAAAAGTGCAGTCGCAGCACTTTCACTTTGGCAGCTACCTGTCGTTAAGTTGGAGTCGTAATGTCTGGACGTGGTAAACAGGGCGGCAAGGCTCGCGCCAAGGCCAAAACCCGCTCCTCGCGGGCCGGGCTTCAGTTTCCCGTGGGCCGAGTGCACCGCCTGTTGCGCAAGGGCAACTACGCTGAGCGGGTCGGGGCCGGCGCGCCTGTGTATCTGGCGGCGGTGCTGGAGTATCTGACGGCCGAGATCCTGGAACTGGCGGGTAACGCGGCCCGCGACAACAAGAAGACGCGTATCATCCCGCGCCACTTGCAGCTGGCCATCCGCAACGACGAGGAGCTCAACAAGCTGCTGGGTAAAGTCACCATCGCTCAGGGTGGCGTCCTGCCGAACATCCAGGCCGTACTGCTGCCTAAGAAGACTGAGAGTCACCACAAAACCAAGTAAAGAAAAGCAGTTAGATAAGTTGGAAAATAAAGGCTCTTTTCAGAGCCACCCACATTGTCAGAGAAAGCTGGTGCACAAAACTCACTGTTTTGGGTGTTTGATTAGATTGCTTCAATCCTTTTACAGGGGAGGTGGATTATCTACAATAGCAATTCAGAATGTGTACTGAATTGAAAGGGCAAGTTGGTGGTTGACATGAGCAAGTATGCCCCGGAGAGGCTTGTCCAGAAGTTGGAGATCAATCAGAGAAAAAAAAAAAAAAATTATCTGGCAGCCAAAGTAAAATGCACTGATTGCTTTTAGAAAACAATTTAGCAATTCTCAATATACTATTAAGAATCGTTTGAAGGAACATTCTGATTAAGTGACGTATCTAAGGATGGTTTTCATCAGATGATGAAATTCTTAAAATTCCACGCAGCAGCCATTTACATTTTCTTTAGGATTTAATGAGTAAGAATTTGTTGATTAAAAACATGCAGAATTTTTTTACTCCCATATTAGTAAATCCTGTCCTAGTTCTTTGGAACACATGTATTCATTTAATACACTCTTTTAATATACCATAGTAACTCAGGATATAAGTCTGTGTAATCTAGAAAATCTGCCTCCCTGGAAGTCATACTCCAGGTGGAGGAGCCATAAATAAACGTGAATATGTAAGATGATACATATCTTGTAAAGAACATAGGGGAGATACACCATAGAGCATAATGGGAACTCCTGTTTTACATAGTGGGCAAGTGGAGATAACTTCTTTAAAGATGTGTGATCAGAGATCTACATAAACTAAAAAAAAAAGACGGGCAGATATTAGAGGGAAGAGTATTTCAAGTAGAGGGAACTGAAAATGCAAAAGCCTTAAGACAGAAAATGTGTTTTTCTTGGGAACAGCCAGAAGGCCCATGAGGCAACGAACTTAAAGCAGATGGGGAGGCCATGAGGGAAACACCATAATATAGGACTTTGGGTGTGTAAGTTAATGTGTAAAGGTAATTAATAGCAATCCTGACCTAGATAATAAATTTGATTATACAGACTAGCTAAATAGAAAAAGCCTTGGAATGCACATAATGCTTTTTAAAAAGACACCATAAATACGGTATTGACTTTGTTATGTGGTTCAAAACTGAAAGATTTGAGAGGATGTAGTTTATAATTCAATACAAGATTTGTTTGCTACTCCTAGTCTTTGCTTGCAGAAACCTGTTAAATGAAATAATAATGAAATGCAAGAGACCCAGGGGGAAAAATATGGTGATATAGTGATGCAGCATTGGGTTCTCTGGAAGCAGGTGCTGAGATGGAGTTTGGGGTGCAAGGACCAACATTTGTGAAGAGAGGAAGGAACTAGGATTGGACAGAGGAGAATGTCAAACTGTGATACAGGTCGGACAAATGGGAGCAGTGGAGCCTGTATTGCCTGGTAGAGTTGCCTCACATTGGGTGAAAATGACCCTGGATCAGTCTTTACATCTCCATTTTGCTCTCTCACTGATACAGACTGTCTTGGGGAAGGGTGTGCCTTGAGTAGGGTGGAGCTCTGCAATTCTGGTGGACACTGAAGGAGCTGAGAACTGCTGCCTATTTACTAACTGCTCTGCAGTTGGGCAGCAATTCTTACCTTGGTTGGGGGATCTGGGAACTGCATTTCTAGTGCAGTTAGATGCGCTAATATGAATATAAATATCAACGTTGAATAATGTCTATTGATAGTATTTTTAAAACTGACTTTAGTGTACATAACTGGTATTGTTTCTTTACTTTCATTGGGGAAGTTAAAGGGGATGTGTCTCCTTTTTAGAGAAATGAGAAAACTTACTAACTTCTAAAAAAAAAACAAAAAACAACCAATTTCATATCCTCCTATGAGTTTTAGATGCCTCAATCATTGCAAATGGAAGGTGATATAAAATAATTACAAGGAATATTGAGAGGATTTTCCACTAGCCTTCTCCCGCTCCTCCAGATCCAGCAAATCACTTCACTTATCCAGTCCTGGGAAGTAATCCAGTTTTGCACCGTAATATGAAAGCTTCAAAATGAATAGCTGAGACCCCAACAAAGAGGAGAGTGAGCCTTTAAAGAAAACATGGAAGAGAGATTCAAGGCAGACCACTCATGGGCTACATACGTAATATGAATGCATTTGAGGTGGGTATCGTTCTAATTTCAATTTAGAAAAGAAATGGTATGGAACTGAATGTTTCTGCCATCCCCAACCCCAACACTGGCAAGTTCACATATGAAAATCCTAAACCCCTAGTGTGGTATTTGGGGGTGAAGCCTTTGGAGACAATTGGCTTTAGATGAGGTCATGAAGGTAGAATCCTCATGGTAGGATGAGTGCTCTTATAAGAAGAGGGAGGGACCAGACCCCTGCCCACCGACTCCTCAAGCCCACAAAGAAATCACATGAGCACACAGATGGTAGCACCTACAAACCAGGAATCATGCCCTCACCAGATACTGAATCTATTGGCACCTTGATCTTAGACTTCTCAGATTCCAGAACTGTGAGAAATAAATGTTTGTTGTTTATGCTACCCAGCCCTATAATATTTGTCATAGCAGCCCAAACTGAGTAAGGCAAGAAAGTATAATGTCATTTATTCAAGCAGATTCTCAACTCGTAAGAGATAAAGCTCTAAATCAGAATATTATCTACCTCAACACAAAGCCCACACATAACTGCCTTCTCTTAACTGTCTGGTCTTATACACTGTGGTATAAAGTGCGTAAATATTTGGGTAAGAACGTTAAAGGGAGATGTTGAAAAATTTTAGCAGGCAAGTATCATGATCAGATTCGCATTAACTGATACCAATGAAAAAAGAATAAAACTAAAATTATTCAAATAACGTTTACAACAGTTTAAGATGAATAACCAGAAGTTCCTGAAAATGAGGATCACACTTAATACACACTTTTCCTCATTTTCGGCCCTTCACCCCCTCATCTTCATACTTATTAGATGGAGTCAATGCCATATATTTGTTGTAGGGAACAACTGTAAGAAGGGGAGGGTAGGGCAGTAGAGTGGCAGTAAAGTGAGCAGGCAATTCTAAGTAAGGACAGAAAACAAAGTGCATATGTCTTTAGACAACAGAAACAGATGTTCCTGAGGAAAGAGCAGAAGGAGGGCATAAAGGCAGGTGGCTTCTTGTGGCTTGCCGTGATCGTATAGTGGTTAGTACTCTGCGTTGTGGCCGCAGCAACCTCGGTTCGAATCCGAGTCACGGCAGGATGGAGTCTTACATCTGTGTACCTTGTATCTTTTTTCAGCATCGCAATGGAGACCATCCGTGTAAAACCCATGTAAAATTAAAGGGACTTCTATCTAATCCGGACCAAAAAACACAAATGTTCATCCTGCTGTCACCCGCCAGCCAAACAAAGTGTACTTTTTTTCTTTTTACTACAGTTCTTCTCTTCCCAACCATACCCAAGTTTAACACTCCTGTTGGCATTGGCTGGAATTCCCAAAGAAGGAACTGAAGAAATAATAAAATTAGAAAAAAAATTTCCTTTTAAACACAATGAAAAGACTATTTAAAAGCAGATCCAGGTTTACTGTGGCAATCTTTCCCAGCACACAAAGGAATGATTGTGAATCACGCGTCTCTAAGTGTGGTGCCTGGGCCATTGCTGAGAAACTGTAAACTGATAATCTGGAGAAAATTCGTGGCTCAGAAGAATAGCCACCACCTCTAGGCCCTTCAGTTTCTTGAGTGAGTTAGAAAGGGCCAAGTGCACTAGGTAAGGTGGGATTGGCGAAGAGTTGATCTGAGATGGGGAGGTGGCTGGAAAGCAGAAGCAGTAGATACTACATGGGGACCACAGTGAGATGACAAGGGAGAAGCAAATCCCTAGAGGAATTTTGGTGAGTTCACTTCTCATACCAAAGCACTCTGAGAACACATAAATAGCACCTCATCTCCCCTGGGCCTTGTAAATTTTAAGTGCTTGAAAAATACTGTCTTCTGTCTTATTTTTAGCAGCTTATTAGAAGTTTCAGAATGCAGGTATCTACTTCAGTTTTCTAAAGCCTTCTCTTAGTGCTGAAATAACCCATTTCTTCCCCAACTGTCCACCTGACATGGATTCTGAAACTCACACCAACAAAGCTTTGGAGATATTGTAACTGCAGCTGAAATGTCTTATAGTTTGGATGCCATCCCTCCAGCAGCCCAGGCTTGAAGCTGCTTCCCAGTAGTCTAACAGCATTCACAGTGGGCCATCCATATTCGCTGCGATCACATCTACTTCAGTTTTCTTTTGTGTATGTTATTTCTACTGAATTTTACAAGGATGAGTTCAAGGACCTAGTATGTATTGACCCAGAAGGACCAGCTCCTGTCAGATTTTTTTTTCCCACCAGTGAATAAGGAAACTCAGATTTATAACAGAGACAACATCTTGATCTCGCAATTCTCTAGAACATACTTTTGCTGGCTCTTACTGGCCTGAGTAGCAAAAATTCATGGACTATGGCCCAGAGGCTACCTCTTCATAAGTGCATTAGGTCCTAAATCTAGCACAGAACCAACAAATTAGCAGAATTAATCTATCCAGGTGAGTGATGGGATAAAGACATATACTTCATGATTTGCTCAAAAAGTAGAGAGCTTGCTTGGCATGCTCCATATGATACCCAGTAGCAATAGCAACATGTGTTTCTATTAGACGTATCAGGTTCTGAGGTTTGCAATTATATTGTGTAGCTTTAAGTGAAATCACTAGTAAATCTGGGATAAACTGAGCAGGGGAATTATGAGATTAGACGTTTGCATTTTCCAGATTTCCTTTTACGAATTCTTGACTATTGGTCTGGGAGCATCCTCCACCACCTGCCAATCACATTTGCAGAGAGAAAACTGCCCTCTATCTATGGCCCCCATGGTCTGTTTAAATTTCTCGATGGAAACTAATGAGAGTTACCACTTTCTATAATTGTTCTCAAGATTTAAGGACATCAATATGCGTGATGGCATTCGCTCAGTGAGGTACAAACCAAAAACATAAAATAAGCCATTGTTGTTAAATAGCATTGCTACTTACATGGAAGAAGGCCTTTGTGCGGTAATGTTGTAAATACTGATGCCAAATTCAGCATCTGTTTAAATTTACTGTAGTCCTCTACTATTTTGATGGTAATAACCTAATTCCAACTATGTCAGGAAGTGTTTTGTCTGTCTTCAAAATTAAGGTTTATTCAGCTTGGCTATTTATAAAGCCAATGTCTGCCAAAATGTTTGTCATGATAGGCCATAAATTTGGGGAAGGTGCAGGGGTCTTGGAGAAAGGTAGATCATAGGAAGAATGGCCACAGAAGTTAAGAAATCAGGGAAGGAAAAAATATATATACACCAAAGAAACCTAGTATCAGCAGAAATCCAGAAGAAGAATAGGCCGGGTTTGGGGGCGTTAATTTCTCTCCAGTGTGCAGCAGCCTCCCTGTGTCCATACGCCTCCTTCAGCACCTCCTTTATGTTAAAATGGCTGCTCATATTTCCTGAAGGACAAACAAAGCTTTTTCTTTCAGGCTTTAGCAAGACTTATGAAAGTACTTTCTTGCCAGTGAGAAGCAGAAGTCAGGGAATAGCTAGACCTCATAAAGAACTTCAGTCAAGAAAGTTGAAAAACTTATACATCCTGGCCTTGTGATGAACTAAGTAGTGTGTGGAAGCTCATAGCTCACAGCTCCCATCAAGGTAAATGAGAGGCAACTCCACTCTTGGTTAAGGAATAAAGTTAACCTCAACCACAATAGGTTTCCTAAGGCGTTCTTATTGCTGAGTGCCCCTCAGCCGCCTTGGTCTCTTCTCAAAGTGTGAAGATGGGGAAGACAGATTCCTATGGACAGAGGCTGGAAAAGGAGATGTACAAAAGCTAACTCTGGAACAGCTAAAAGTAATTTCAATGAGAAGAGAGAGAAATAGTGATTAATGTTGATTCTGCCCCACGACACTAGTTAGACCCTTTGCTGAGAAAACATTTTAGCAATTCTCCACTGCATTAACTGAAATGTTGAAAAACTTTGCTTTTCACATTCCAGCCTGTAATCCACCTACAATTAATTTGTATGTATACTTCAAAGTATGGATTTTTTTTTCTAATATGTACAGTTGAGTCAGCAATACTGAACGAATAGTCCATATCTCCCTTCTGATCTACCCCACCACCTATGTCAGACATGATGTTTCATTATTTGCTTTGGACTATATTGTGCTATCCATTCTGTTCCATTGGTTTATTTATCTCTGTAAAAACGCCTTATATATTAATGACTGTCTTTTGAAATACGTCTGACATTTCGAAGAGAAAGCACCTCTACCATCCTTCTCTTTTAAAATAATTTAGCTTGCCAAATCTAGTTCTTCCAAGTATAATCTGTTGGAATTTTGATTGAAACCTCATTATATATATGTGTATGTTTCTCTGATTTTAAAGAAACTTTATATTATTTTGCAAAGCTTTCACTTTCATTAATATGGTGCATCACTGCATTTATTTAAGTAGTTTTTTATATCTTTCCATAATGTATAATTCTCCCTGTGTAAGTACTGTACACAATTTGTCAGATTATTAAGTATAATTTTAAAACCTTATTTTTTGTGTTTCTGAGTTGAAATTGTGAAGCATATCCAACAGGTGTTCATTTGTTGATTTCAAACACAGATTCTCCAATTTTTTTCTGTAGATATATCATCTGCAACTAATGATTACTTACTTATTCCTTTTCACACCTTGTACATATTTTCTAAGTTTAAAATGTTTATTTAAAATAATTTAAAATATTTATTTGTATCTAACAATACAAACTATTATTACTCCTCCTGTATGGAATGATTAATCTTTTTATTTGCACAGTTTTCAATAGGTCTTATTTCAACCCCAAATCCATCTACCAGTTATTTAAATCTTTTTTTTCCTCTCCATCTCTATTTTTTTTTTTTTTGCTTGGTATTCCAGGATATTATCACACTTTATGACCTACTTAGTGAATTTTTCACTTCTGACAATATATTTTTATTTTACAAAAGCCCTTTTCCTTGTGTGAATACACCTGTCTTTATTTCAGTATTTAATATTGTCTCCCATCTCTCTGAGTATATTAGCATTGGTTTATTCTTAGCATTGTTCTACCTATGCCTTTGTCTACCAAGTTGCTTTTTGTTTCTGTTTTTGTTACATTTATTTAATATATTCTTCAGATATATAATGATTCTGACTTTTCTATTCACGGTTAAGAAAAGAATATGGGAAAGCTCATTGGAAGCTCTGAAGCTTTGGATGGCGCTTGCTTATTTTGAGTGGAAGTGGGATCCAAGAGGGTTGGGAAGGCTCACTGTAAGGTCAAGGTTTTCATAGATGTCTCTTGTCTTTAGTATGGAATTACAGCCATCTAATGAGGCAAATGCTTCTTAGGCCAGAGACCTCTGTTTTATCCTTTTAGGAGCATAAACTTGGAGTCTTCTTGCTGAGAACTTCCAGGTGGGAGCTGGGAGAGCTCAACTCTAGGAGAGAGAACCTGGGTCCTCTGAAGGATTGAGAAACTGCTGGAGCAGCCAACCTCTGTTCAGACCTGCCCACACATTTCTTTGGCACTGTTCCCAGTTTGAGGCCCAGGCCACACTATTCTGACCTCCACCCAGTTTTACAATTTTAGGAATTCCTGTTAGTTAAAATCTCTCACTCTTGAGGTGAGAAAATGTTTAGTGTCCCCAGCACTCAGGCCTCATTGAAAAATCTGTTTCTCCCTGACTTTTGTGGTGACTAGATGTAACAGAAATAATAAAATTATTTTTTTGTGCCAATCTGATGCTCTACTGGCCACAGAACTAAGCAGTTTATTAAAGTGGATATCCCAAAGGAAAGCTGGGGGAGAATCAGCAATTCTGTTTCTCAAATAGCACACTCAGAAGCCTAAACTACAAAAACGAAAATGAAAAACCCGCTCTGTTAGCCTTAAAGGGAGGGCAAAAAAGTAAGATCCTCAGGGACTGGTTCCACTGGGGCTCGAACCCAGGACCTTCTGCGTGTAAAGCAGACGTGCTAACCACTACACTATGGAACCTCCGCTGTTGAGTTGCTTCATGTCTCCAGATACAAAAGATTTTGGACAAATACATCAGAAACTATTCAATTCAAAGATCAATGAGTTTGAACATAGGAAATTGTGGGTGCTTAACTACATTTCTAATGCATCTCACTTGCACAGAAGCTTGAAATACCCTCAAATTGTGTCATCTGTGTCTATCTAAAACCACATTCTTGATTTGTGCCTCTTTGAACACTTCTAGACTAATCTATATTTCCCCATTCACTCTGGGAGTATTTATTTCCAGTGTAGGTGCCCAGCATTTGCCAAGGTGCTGGGGATAGAGCAGTGTAACAGTTAAAACCCCAGCGTGTATGCACCTTATGCTGCAGTTCCTAGCAAATAACAGGTGCTGAATAAATGTATCTTTATTTCAAGAGAATTACAAGCTAATTAGCAGCACTCTAATGACTTCCCTGTTTTTGCAACTGGGTTAGAGTTAGACAATTAGGGACTGCTCACTAAGCTAAACTTAGAAATTTGTGCATTAATTAAAATGGGAGGTGAATGAATGTTTTCAATTGTAGGAGTTCAGAGCATTTTGGCCACCCCAAAATATGCCACTCTGGTATATTGATAATATATATTAAGTTAAAAGCACCTGAGAAACAGCAGGTGCTGTTATAGGAGAGAGAAAAATAATCAAATAGCCCAAGTGCAAAACAAAAACACATAGGTTTTCTAGAACAAATGTAAGAGGTTTCCAGTTCTTATTGAAAAGAACAAATTAGAAAATAAGGCCATTCTCCAGAGGCAAGGACAGAACCCATACAGACATACAACTTATAAACTTTAAATTCAAAAACCTTCCCACTCACTAATCTCAGCAACATATAATTCTTGTTCTCATATCTTTTCTTATAAGAAACCAAAAAATATTTGCTTACAGTTTGGGGAGTCTAGGATTGACTTCATAGGTCCGTGAATCATTGGCCCAGACTTACAAGAACATAAGCAAAAAACAAATCTTTAGGACTTTTTTGATGGGAAATTAATAAAATGTAATTCAAACAATTATTTTCATATAATTTACTATTTATATGCTATGACTTGTGCTGGGTGTTAGAACTCCCCTGACCTGCAGACACATATGCTATCAGGAAAAGCACATCATTTTATTAAATTCAAGTTTTACGAAAATGTGAGGTGGCTAAGATAAAGGAAATGTAGGATGCTACATGAGAACCCATATATCCTGGAGACTGTCACTAAACCGAAACTTCAAGCACTAGAAGACACAACCCCAGTGGACTATCATATAAAAACCCAGCACACTTCTCTAGATATCTAGATGGATTATGCTTCAAATGTAAAAAAGAAAATCTACACCTTTTTAGAACATTTTAGACCTATTTTTTTAAAAGGAAAATCCTTAACAAAATCAATGATTTGTCATTAAGCTCCCCCATTGTCAAAGTCAATAGACAGGGAACATAACAGCAGAAAATATTGCAAGATCTAAAATTCACAATAGACTATAAAGACTACAAAATACAATGTATCCCAGGTACATTGACATGAAAAAGGCATCAACCTCTATAAGAACATGGACAAATAGGAAGAAGAGTATCAATGCACATAAAATGCAATTAAAATGACTAACAAACATATAGACAGATACTCAAAATCTTTAGAAAACCTAAACATAAATTTAAAAACACAATGATGAGATTTATCACTGTACATATTAGATTACAAAGTAGAAAGCTGGATGTTAAGCATGGGCAAGGATAAAGGGACATGCAGTGCTGGTGGGAGTGTAGACTGACTGGAAAATAAACCAGGATTAATTAGTGTGTGTGTGTATATATATATATATACACCAATGATACCTTACACAAGTACATAAAGGGGGATGGATGAGGAAGTGGTGTTATAGGGAGTGGGGGGACAGTGAAGGCAACCTGTGAGTCCATCACTGGGACAGAAAATAGTAAATACAATGCCCTTCATGGGATTTTACATAGCAAGTAGAAGCAACGATTGAAGTGTACACAGGGCAACCTTGATGGATCTGAAAGTCACAATGTTTTTTAAAAGGAGTAAGAATATAGTACATCATTTATATAAATTTATAACATATACGCACAGAACAAAAATGTCAATTCTGCCCAAATAAATATAATCAAAATGAAACAATAAACAAATTAGGAAAGTTAGACAACCTACGGAATGGGAGAAAATTTTTGCAAATGAAACAGACAAAGGCTTGATCTCCAGAATATATAAGCAGCTCATATGACTCAATAAGAAAACAATAAACAACCCAATCCAAAAATGGGCAGAAGACCTAAACAAGCAATTCTCCAAGGAAGACATACAAATGATCAAAACGCACATGAAAAAATGCCCAATATCACTAATTATCAGGGAAATGCAAATCAAAACTACAATGAGGTATCACCTCACACCAGTCAGAATGGCCATCATTTAAAAATCCACAAATGACAAATGCTGGAGAGGCTGTGGAGAAAGGGGAACCCTCCTACACTGCTGGTGGGAATGCAGTTTGGTGCAGCCACTATGGAAAACAGTGTGGAGATTCCTCAAAAGACTAGGAATAGACTTACCATATGACCCAGGAATCCCACTCCTGGGCTTGTATCCAGAAGGAACCCCACTTCAGGATGACACCTGCACCCCAATGTTCATAGCAGCACTATTTACAATAGCCAAAACATGGAAACAGCCTAAATGTCCATCAACAGGTGACTGGATAAAGAAGATGTGGTATATTTATACAATGGAATACTACTCAGCCATAAAAACTGACAACATAATGCCATTTGCAGCAACATGGATGCTCCTGGAGAATGTCATTCTAAGTGAAGTAAGCCAGAAAGAGAAAGAAAAATACCATATGAGATCGCTCATATGTGGAATCTAAAAAACAAAAACAAAAACAAACAAACAAACAAACAAAAACAAAGTGTAAATACAGGACAGAAATAGACTCATAGACAGAGAATACAGACTTCTGGTTGCCAGAGGGGTGGAGGGTGGGAAGGGATAGACTGGGATTTCAAAATTGTAGAATAGATAAGCAAGATTACACTATACAGCACAGGAAAATATACACAAAATGTTATGATAACTCACAGAGAAAAAAATGTGACAATGAGTGTGTATATGTCCATGAATTACTGAAAAATTGTGCTGAACATTGGAATTTGACACAACATTGTAAAATGATTATAAATCAATAAAAAATGTATAAAAAATAAAATCAATTCATAAGCTCTTAAAAAAACAAATTAGAAAAGTTGTTTATGCAAGGAGAGAAATGGCGAGAGGACATAGGGACAAAGGGAATAAATGAATCTTGAAATATTGTAAAGTAGGGCAAGTAGATTAGGTATAGGTTAGACTGGCAAGGATGAACTAGGGGGAGGGGCGGGTTGTGGGGGGAAGATCTATGAAGATAAGAATCAAGTCAGTTTTATCGCAGCAGTGCAATGAGAGAATCTCCTGTGCATCAGTTTGTCCTCATCTTTGCTTACTTTCTTGTGCCAGGTTAAACAAAATAGAAGGAAACACGATAGTCTTGCTCATGTGCAGTGAATTAGCTCAGAAAGTAGCACCGTGGGCTCTGTAACCTTCCAGTAGTGAAACTGATTCTTACATTTCTCATTGTCTCGGGAAGGTGGGAGGTGGGGCAAATTGTTAAAACGTGCTTTATTTACCCTATTCTAGAATACAAATCCTATAGGTGCAAAAAAATTTGTTTTGTTCGCTATTCTACCTCCAATACCTAGAAGAGTAGCTGAAATACAGTAGTGACTCCATATTTGTGGACAAAATGAATTAACCGAGAAACAAATTTAAAATATGTTGCAATATCCAATATTTCCTCTAGAGGGCGACAGTCGCCATGAAATAGAAATTTTCCTCTAATTTACAATCATTTTTAAAACCTTGCTTTGAAGAATTTTTATTTTTTAATGTTGACGTTTCTGCTTTAGTATGAGTTCAGAAACACAAATGTGCTCTCTTTGTTACAAAATCAAATAATTTCTGGCAAGTTACTACATTTCACAGAAAAAGTTACAAATATGAAATAATTGAGTGTTTGCTTCAGAAGGGGCCCTGTGGCTTAGCTGGTCAAAGCGCCTGTCTAGTAAACAGGAGATCCTGGGTTCGAATCCCAGCGGGGCCTTCCTTATTTATTCGGCTTTTGTATTTCAACACTGTAGTTGCCGTTATGTATGTTCAAGATGTGCTGAGGAATTTATTTCGCTGATAAAGCCAGTGTTGAATCGTGGAGAGTCTTTTGCGGGATAATTACACCATAATACAAGGTGTTGCGATGAATAAGGTTTCGGTAGTTCTTAGAAACCAATGGGTTTGCTGATGATGAGTGTATTAATTGAGCAAAAATTATCTTGCAGTACCTGACAGAGTGCTAACATTTCAAATTCTGTCTTGGAAGTTCAGTCTTGGATCTTTTAATCTGTGACAGCCAACATTTTCAGCTAAATGATGGAGTATGGTTGTCAGCGTCAGGCAAATAATTAATAAGCCATGACCTTTAAATTGGAATCAGACTCATTTTTATTTTTGAGACTAAGGAAGATAGCACTGTTAACTTTAGACTCATTTTGGTTTTGTGCAACCCTAAGAACTGTATTTGTACATCCAAAGAACCTACTGAAGGGGGGAAAATTGGAGCTCAATGACATTTTGAGGAAATAAATCAAAAGCAGATTATCACTTCCTTGAATCTTAAATGACATGGTAGTTCATTAGCTAAAATGTACACTGTGTAGCCCTGGCCTACATATTGGGCTTTTCCCTTTTATTAAAGAGATTTCAAAGATTATGATGGGAGTGCCATCAAAGTCTTTGTCTTTTCACTTTGTTAGAAGTAGTCCTGTATTATGCATGAAATCCTGTTTATACTTCACAGTAAAACCGCCCTTTGTTTATTTATCGCAGTTCTTCCCCATCTACTTCCAAACGAATGTGAACAAAAGAGGAGGCCAGCAGATTTTGCCACCCAAAAATACACCACTTTGGCATACAGATTATTGTGAGCTGAAGACAAATGAGAAGAAGCAGATACAAGAAAAGTTCTCTGCCTTCTGCCTATTTGCCAAAAAGCAGGACATACATTTACTAAAGGGGCCACCTCCCTCTCCTCT